GCATCATCCAGTGTCTTAAATCCAAGAAGCCGCCTGCTGGATTTGACCGAGACCTCACTAAGTTTGAGGAACTCGCTGATGGTCCACCACCAAGCGAGTCACCTCCAGCAGCTGCTCCTGAGCAGCCTCCTGCGGAGAACGATGGTCGGCTCCCGACCATCATAGAGGAAACAGAAGAAGATCTGGATGCCTTTGTCTTGAAGTCGTGGTATGCTGACATGATGGGTGACAGAACACTCCTTGAAGCTGACACAGAAGAAGTCATGCATACAGTTCCCACATACATGACAGACACACAGTGTGTGTTAGTCTCTACGACCTGTGAAGATGTGCAAGGCCACTTGCCGGAGCGGGGTCACCCGCCAGGATACGACATGGACACTTCTTACTACGTTCCTTTATGCTCCACGGATCCGGATAGCAAATATGATCTGGACTCCGATGAGCACGGGAAGTACATCGAGCTCTGCTTCGCAGCAGACATGTCCAAAGTCGTCCTGTCCGAGCAGCAACGCCGATTGTTGGATGACAGCAGCGTCACAACTATGCGAGTATACGTTAGTGCTGCTTCCAAACGTGCCGTGGTCGTCAAGGAAGACGATCTACTCACGAAGGCCGACATTCAAGCAAATCCGGTCAAAGTTTCCAAAGCCCTTTACACAGAATTGAAGACTTGGCTTGACAACAAATGCTTCCAGATGACTGACTTGAGCAAAGCGTCTAACATCATGACTTCACGCTACGTATACAAATGGAAGTTTGTCAAGAACGAAAAGGGCGAAATGGAAAGGACGATCAGGTTACGCTTGGTACTCCGTGGCTTCATGGACCTTGAAGCCTTTGATGTCGAAACCTTCTCTGGCACGGCAAGGAGGTCAAGCCAGAGACTGCTCGCAAGTTCTGCTGCATGCAACAAAGCTTGGATCATCGCTTCCCTGGACATCAACATGGCTTTCTTGAAGGGACTGACCTATAGCGAGCTCGCCGCGGCAACGGGCGAGAAAGAGCGTGTGGTGTGCTTCACACTACCTCCTGGGTCAGCAGCTGTCCTTCGCACACTGCCAGGCTTTGAGTCATATGACGAATCAAAGCATTGTCTTCGGTGTCTGAAGCCGGGGACGGGCACGAAGGATGCTCCCAGGGCATTCTCGTTGAAGCTCAGGTCCATCACTAGGAGCTTTGGGCTACAGCCTACTTCATACGACGAAGAGTTCGAGATGAGCCCAAACCTCTTGACAGCCAAACACGTTGATGACATCAATATGACCGGGAAGGAAGATGCTATTGACAAGTATGTCAAGTGTGTTGAAGATACGTTTGGAAAGTGCAAACTGAACAAGCACACATGCACAAACTGTGCCGTTCGGTACAACAAGACCGATGATGGGAGCGTCACTCTTGATCAGGACGAATACATCAAACAGCTTCGTCCTATCACACATCCAGAACTCACAGGAGCTGATCCTGAGAGCAAAGCGACAAAAACGATTTCTGATATGTTCGTCAGTCTTCGTGGCGCTCTAGCCTATGCGTTGATCGCGCAGGTATGGCTGATGGTCTATGTTGTCTCACTACAACGTATCCAGGAACCGACAAACATCCAGGTACGACGACTAAACGCGGTTACCAGGAAACTACAGGCAGGTCCGAAGAAGATCGTGTATCAAGCTATGACCCCAACAGGAGAAGTCGACCTGCATAGCGATTCTGGCTATCGTCGTCTCAACGGAGATGAAGACGACGAAGTCAAAGGCTATGGTATCCGCGGGGCTAACCTGCTGAGGCGTGGCCACACGCAAGCGGGGAAACCCGTCGTGCACCTGGTGGACGCATACTGCAAGTCTCATCGACTGCAGGTGCGTTCGAGCTACTCTGCGGAAACACTGGCAGCAGCCCACAACTTGGAAGACTGCTACCCGACCATTGTAACGCTCCACGAGCTACACTCGGGACCATTGACCCCCACACAGTTAAAGAACATATTGGAAATGGGTGGTCTATGTATCAAAGTCACTCTGACTATTGATGCCGAGTCTGTCTTCAAGTCTTTGTCTAGCAAAGATCTGAAGAAGCCCACAGAATGTACTCTGCTTGGGCACATTAGCTGGATCCGCCAGATGATGGAGCGCGGAATCGTTGAAAGCGTTCAATGGTGTGACACGCGGGATATGACTGCCGATGGTCATACCAAAGGTAGTATTGACCGCGCGTTGCTCCTACAAGTAATGGCCGGCCAGCAATCCTTCAAGCACGAGCTGAAGAAACATACACCGTATAGGGCGGGCAGGTCGTCTCAGGACGGCCCTGCCTCCCGAGCTAGCGGGGAAACCCGCGTGCAGGTGCGCTCTAGTAGCGAGGAAACTCGCCGGTAGCGAGGCTACTCGCGCGCCCTTGCCTTGTAGGCAGCCGCTGCTGCTTAGCACTGTTTTTCCGCGTAATGTAGAAGTGCGGTGCCTGCTCGTCTCCTCCCCCTCCGACTTTAAACGGAGAAGGTTAAAGGCGAGGTATAAATCGAGCATGTACCGCTGCCGTGCCTGGCTCAAGCCGGGCCCGGCCAAATATATGACTGTGCCTCACCGAGGCGCACGACTGGTATTTGAGATCGGAAAATACCTTTTCCATTGAAGATGCCCCTTCTATCCTCTACTCCAGATCCCATGCTTCGTCTTGCTCTCTTGCTCATGCGATATGAGCCAAAGCCTGGGATATGGCAACGCTTGAAGCGTAACACATACCTAAGCTTACCAGCATGTTTTCGACTTCTTGGGGCCCCTTTGGGCAGTCTTGGGCGCCTCTTGGGCCGTCCTGGGGCGCTCTTAGGCAGCCTTGGGGCCCTCTTGGAGGCATCTTGGGCCGTTTTGGGGTGGTCTTTGGGGTCGTCTTGGAGCATCGGAGAAGCCGAAGAGGCGAGAACGCCACCATTCTGCAACAGCGCAATGCAATTCAGACTTCTGCGGTTTGGGGGCCCTCATTGGAGGCCTTTGGATACCTGTTGGGGCGCCTTGGAAACCTCTTGCGCCATCTTAGGGCCATCTTGGGCGTGTTTGAGCGATCGTTCGGCGACTCGGGGCCCTCTTTTGGACCGTCTTGGGGGCCTTCTGGGCCGTCATGGGAGCCCTGGAGAGCCCCAGGGAGGCGCAGTTGCCGCCCAGGGACCTCCCGGGAATACGGCTGGTGCGCACAACGAGGTGCGGCCCGAGGAGGGCCCCTCGGAAGAGTTCAGGAAACATGCCAAGCAGCTGTTGGCATTCTAGCACGCCTTAACGTGCCAGGGGGCACGGTGGCGGCTAATGTTAGGCCCATGCAGGCTCCGGCCTGAATAAGGAACACCTGCTTTTCAAAAAGGTGGTTTGCATGCGTTCCGCTACCTTTTTGGCGGCGAGTCCCCCTGGTGTTACTTTGGATTTCCTGGACTTACCTGTGAACAAAAGGGGCTTCGTTCCTCGTTCCTCAGGTCAGGCCGAATACTGTCGTTAACTCAGGAGGACTCCGCCCCCTGCGTCCTCTCTCGGGGGGAGGGCTCGAATGGGTTCCTCGCCGCGCAAGATGGTAATCGTTCCCCCTCGGCTGCGGCGGCTGCGGCGGCTGAGCCAGGGGCACCTTTACTTTCCCCTGGAAGGGGTGTAGTCCGTGGACGCCCCGGTGTGTTACAGTCAACCCGTATAGTAAGGATGGGCAGCCTTCCCAAGGGTACCCTTGCATCCGTGCCTCATCGGTCCATCCTTGGCCACTTTCGTTGGCCACGCCCAGCTCGAAAAGCTTCGATGTGGCCTCCCAAGGCCCTTGCATCCTTATCGCGCATCCTTACTATACAGGTTGACTGTATGTCTGGCCTAATCCAGCTTATCAGTGGGCTACGAGTGCCCGAAGTGGCTCAGGGCTCTGGGAGGGTTCCTGATGCGGTTTCAGTGGGCTTCGCCCACTCATCGAAGGCATCGAGCCCCCATAGGCTACCCGTGGCATTAGTTCCCCGCTTTCGAGTTAGGTTAGGCCAGATGTAGCCCGCCTTGGCATCCACTGATCGCCCCCTACACAACGAACCGTCGATTCGAATGAACATATTGCAAAATATGGACAGTGGGGGGGGGGGGAAGACGAAAACCCAGACAATATGGACAAATATGGGGAATCCTAGGACTTGTGTCTATTCATTTGTGTGTTTGAGGGCCCCTTCAACGTAATCCGCCTTGGCATCCACCGATCGCCCCCTATCTTCGTAGCAACTTCCGCGCCGATCCCACCAGTCTCAAAGGGGGGAATGGCGTCGACCGCCGATCGGCCGGGAGGGGGTGAAGAGGCACTAGGATGAGGAGGAGGAGGAGGAGGAGGAGGAGGAGGAGGAGAGGAGTAGGAGGAGGAGGAGGAGGAGGAGGAGGAGGAGGAGGAGGAGGAGGAGGAGGAGGAGGAGGAGGAGGAGGAGGAGGAGGAGGAGGAGTGGACAGCGCATCAGCTCGGCTCGAATCAGGGGCAATGTTAGGGGAGAATCGGCCAGAGCTTCTCAAGGTTCTCGTTGGTTCTCCTGCCTTGGGGTGCTCTCCAGCAGCTGCGCCTCTCCGAGAGCGTTCCAGGTGGGCCCCCTGAGCCGGTCTCCCCCTGTCGTTACCCCTCATCCCTCCCGCCATTTTCGATTCCTCCGGTCTCGAAGGAGAGAAAACGGCCTGAACATAATGTGTGGGAGTTCCGCGTGGATCTTTGAGATCGGCGCTGGGCAACCCTCTCTGGCGCGTCGGGGGTGGCGCCCAGGGCCCGCCAGAGCAGCGCCGATCCCAGAAATCCGCGCGGACTTCCGACCGAGAGCTTATGTTACGTAACACCCCGCCCCTCACATCTTCCTTCACTGCGCCGACATCGGCGCGTGAGCGTCCAGTGTGGTCTCGCAGAGGGGTCGTGCGTTAGCGCCCTCTGCTCCACGCGGTGTGCCACGCCGGCGGCCCGCGCAAGCCGCGGCATCGGGTCGCTGTGGCACCGTGCGGAGGGGCCCGTCTCTCCTCGCCGCGCAGGTGGACACGACGCTGTACAGCTCCGTCGTGTGCACCGTGCGGCGGCTGCCCACCGCGGAGGCAGCCGCGGCCTTCGGGGGCATCCTGCGGTCCACTTCGGCGCAGCTGGCCAGCCTCGCGGCGCAGGTGCAGGAGCAACCGGGCCGCCCCCCGGCGCTCCCGGAGGCCGCGCGGCCGCAGGCGCTGAGGCTGCTCTCCAGGCTGCGGGGGTGCATCTGGACCCTGGAGCAGACGCCCGAGGACCCGGGGGGGAGGAACGCGCACCGCTCTTTTTTTGTTTTTCTCTCTCTCTCTCTTTCTCTCTCGTTCTCTGTCTCTGTCCCTGTCCCTGCCTGTCTGTCTGTCTGTCTGTCTGTCTGTCTGTCTGTCTCTCTCTCTCTCTCTTTCTCCTCTTTCTCCTGAACTCTCTCTCTCTCTCTCTTTCTCCAACCTCCCTCTACCCCTCGTTCCCTCTCTTTCTCTTTCCATCTCTCGCTCTGTTTCTGTCTCTCTCTCTCTCTCTGTCTCTGTCTCTGTGTCTGTCTCTGTCTCTCTCTCTCTCTCGTCCAGACACCCAGCTCAATCATTGTGAAAACGTAAGATTTGCGATGCCAGGGGTGTGGCAGCCCTGATGCAACAACAACAACAACAACTGTTTGACATCCAACTGTACACGCTAGAATTGTACAAACGATTTCTCGGCCACAGGTCCGCTCACCTGGGAGCGCGCGTGTTTGTCTGCGCCTTTTGCTGCGAACGCTCACTGTCCTCCTACTGTCAGAAGAAATGAGATTTCCAGGCAGAGGTTATGAGGCAAAATCAGCCTTAACCTCCCAGGCCTGTCACCAGCCTGTAGCGGAATGGTCCCTATCGGATCTCAATTGGTTTCCAATAGCGCCTTTGGAGACCAAAAGGTCAACAAGAGAACGCCAACCTGGTTACAGTATGACTCAAAGAGGACCGGTTCTTGTGCGTTGCTTGGGTCCTGCTGGGATCCCAATCGTATGCCCGTGTGGATCGAAAAGGAAGGATTCCGATTGTATTCCAATGCGATGTTCGTCGTATTCGCCATTCTGATTCCGATGGGACTCCAAGAGAAAAAGTACTTATTGCTAATGAGAACTCCAAACGATCCCTACCTGGTGCCCCTATGCGTTTCCCGCAGCATTCCTATAGGAAGGCCCCTCGATTATTATCCACTGGGGTTTCCAAGTGGCTTCCATTCGAAGTGCCCCAAAAGGGCTTCCATAAGAAACATCCCTATCGGATTCCCATAGGACGCCCGTAGGCCCCATAGCGAGGAATCTTGCTAGATTTCAATGGGATTTGTATGGTGCCAATAAAATCCCAGTGGGACGGGTGCCAATCGGATTCCAATAGGATTCCTGTTCGATCACATGTTGGAATCCGCCACTTCACAGGTTCTTGTTTCAAACGAGTCTCTTTACAACCAAGACGCTTCAGAGAGCGAAGTGTCTCCCTTACGTGGACCCACGGAGATTTCGGACATTGAAGAACATGTGTCTCTTATCTGTTTTTAGTTTCCTGGTTGTAAAGTCGCCTTCCTGGTTGTAAAGTGTTCTTTTTAGGCAAACTCCTGCTGGTTGTGCAGTGCCCCATCTGGTTGTGAAGTGGCCGTTCTGGTTGCAATGTGATCCGCGCGCCCGGGCCGGGGCCCGAGCGGGCCAGGGCGCGGGGGGAAACGTATATAGGTGGCGACCCCCCCCCGGGACCCCCTAACACCTCCCCAGGACCCCCCCGGGACCCCCCCAGGACCCCCCCCCAGCGCGGGGGAGGGATCAAAGGGAAGGGGTTTCCCTTCGATTCCATTTCGATGTTGTTCAATTTTGATTTGGACGGCGCGTATGAGGACGAGGTCCGTTGCAAATGGAACAGAGGAGGACGGAGATGACGATTTCAACGGACAATCCCTACTAGAACGGATTTGGCGACGTTGATGTTGCTTCGTGCGTTGTTGCTGCTCCTCGTCGCGCTCGTCATACTGGAGCTGCTCGGGTCGCTCGTGTTGCTGCGCGTGGTTGTGTTGTTTGCTGCCGTGCGGCCCATAGAACTACTACTGGCGTCGCTTTTGCCATTGCTGCTCTCAGTTCTGGTGGTGCCGTCGCCGATGCTGCTGTAGTGCTCGTCGCGGTAGTTCTCCTGTTTGCGCTAGAGTTGGTGCGCGTCGTACTATTGGTGCCCAGTGTTCGGGTCGAGGTGGTGTTGCTGGTTGCTGGAGCTTTTGCGCGTCGTGCTGCTGCTTGTCGCGGTGCTCGTCACAGTGGTGTCGCAGGTGGCTCCGTTGCCGGTGGCGCTGGTGTTGCTTGCGATGCTGCTGCTGGCGGCGTTGATGCTGCGCGTGGTGTGGCTGCTTGCGACAGGCCTTTGTGGAGTGGCGCTGCAGGTGGGACTCTTGCTGCTGCCTTTGTCTTGCTACTCATAGTTGTGCTGCTGGTGGCGCTTGTGCTGCTGTTGCTGGTTGCAATGCTGCTTCCTGCCGGCCTGGTCACAGTCGAACTGCTCGTTTCGCTCGTGTTGCTGGCCGGCGCGTCGCGGGCCGTCGTGCGCATCTCCGCCATGCCGCGTTGTCTGCGGTGCGAGGGGCGAGCAGCCGGTTCCTGTGGGACAGGCTGCGGCTGTGCCCTGGGGCGCCCTCGGTGCCCAGCGCAAAATCGAACGATCTGGGCCGTGACGCTCTGCGCTGGGGCGGTCGCGCTATCCCCCTCGCCGGCCTCGCCAGCGGGGGGATGGGGTGGCTCACGCACTCCTCGGCAACGCGCAGAGGGGGGTAGGCGGAGGGGGGAAGGCCCCCTGCTTCCTAGAAGGCGCGGGCCTTCTCTATAGACGTAAGGCCGAGGCCTTCTAAGAAGCAGGGTGTTTCTAAGAAGCCTTCCCCCCTCCCCCTACCCCCTTTTGCGCGCCGCCAAACTCCAGTGCAAATCGCCTAGTGCCACTGGTTCCCGTCGTGCCCGTTCTGGTGGAGCTGCTGGTGGCGTTGGTGCTGCCTATGCGTGCGACGCTGGTGGCCGGGCACGGCGCCCGTGCCAGGCGGCGGCAGGCGGCGGGAGGGGACGGCGGGCCCACGACGAGTCACTACCCAGAAGTCGGGCCTGTCCCTCTACAGGGGGAATATTCAAAATAGTAAAGACATAGTCTGGGGACCATTGTTTGAGTTTTCTTTGGGGGCATCCTTTGAGCATGTTTGGGGTATTTTTTTGTTTTCGTCCAGAACCCCCCCCGTGGGGGGACAGGCCCGACCTAACACTACCCCGTCCTCGCGCTCGCCCTGGCTCTCCCGGTTAGCGCTGCTGCTGTAGGCCCCGGCTGGCGCAACCCGTTCTCTGGGAGCGACCGCCGTTCGGGCTCGGGCCGAGCAGCAGTTGCCTCGTGGTGGGGTTCGCAAAACTTCGCTCGTACGGATGGCGCATTTCTGCTCCTGGGAGCCCGGTCCCCAGCGCAAGATTTAACGATCTGGGCCATGACGTTTTGCGCTCGAGTGAACGCCTCCTCCCCCGTTGGTCTGGCCTGCGGAGGGGTGGGGTCGCTCGCGCAGTCCAGCGCGAATTGCCTTGCGCTGTCGTGCTCGTTCTAGTGGAACTGCTAGTGGCATTTGTGTTGCTGCGCGTGGTGTTGCTTCTTTTCGTCGTGCTGATTACAGTGACGCTGTTGGGGGGGCTTGTGTTGGCGCGTGTTGTGCTGCTGGATCCTGTCGTGCGCGTCACGGCGGTGCTGCTCCTTGCGCGTGTGCTGGTGCGTGTGCTTCTGCTGCTTCTCGTCGTGCTGGTCACATTTGGTACTGCTGGTTGCGTTTAAGTTGCTTCGCGTGCCGTTGTTGCTCCCAGTCGTGCTCGTCACAGTGGCGCTGCAGGTGACGCTGGTGCTGCTGCGTTGGGTGTTGCTATTTGTTGTCGTTGTGGTCACAATGTTGCTGCTGGTGGCGCTTGTGCTGTGTCGCGTGGTGCTGCGGCTCCATTCCCCGTCGTGGTCGTCATACTGGTGCTGCTAGTGTCGCTGGTGCTGGTGCGCGTGGTGGTGGTGCTGTGTTGCTGCCGTGTTGGTCAGAGAGGCACTGCTGGAGTCGCGTGTGTGGCTTGCACTGCTATGTCTGCTGTTGTTGGCTTTGGTGTTGTTGCTGCTGTGCATGGTGCTGCTGTTTCAGGCGCTGCTCGTCTCAGTGGCACTGTTGGTTGCGCTAGAGCCAGTGCGCGTGTTCACTGGGACACCTTGCCCACGATTTCGACGGAAGCTCTCGCCTCACCAGTGGTCACATCCACTATATCGACTTTGTGGTGGCCTTACCGCAGGCCGCATCCATGGTTGGCAGCACAGTCCATATCCATGATTGCGAATTTTGCTTTCGCATCTTCGCCGGCCACGTCAATGATTGCGACCGTTTTTCTCGCTCCAGTGCTGGCCACATCCGTCATTGCGAGCGTCACTCTCGCCTCAGCTCCAGCCACATCCACGACTACGACGGCTGCTGTCGCCCCAGCGCTACCCATATCCATGATTGTGAACGTTGCTCGCGCCTCAACGCTGGCCATTTCCATGATTGCGAGTGTTTCTGTCGCCTTGGCGCTGGCAACATCCACGATTGCGAATGTTGCTTTCGCTTCACCGCTGGCCACATCTACGATTGCGAAAGTTGCTCTCGCCTTAGCGCCGGCCACATCGATGACTGCGAATGTTGCTGTCGCTTCAGCGCTGGCCACACCCACGATTACGAAACTTACGCAGCATTAGCGCCAGCCACATTCACGATTGCGAAATTTGCTCTCGCCCTGGCGCTGGCCACATCCATGATTGAGACTGTTGCTCTCGGCACAGCGCCAGCCACATCCATGATTGGGAAAGCTGCTCTCGCTTCAGCGCTGGCAAGATTCTTCATTGTAAACGAAGCGGGATTAGTGATACAATTGGCACTTTTGCATGGCATGTTGCTGTGTCGCCCCATTCTGGTGCATCATGTGCTACAGCGCGCGCGTGACACACTGGTGTCGCCGAGCCGTTAGCCACGTTATCTTTAATGTGTCAGGTTAGCTTTGGCGCAGTGTCGACAGGGCCTGTGTCAGGTTAGGGTAGGGATCGGCTACGTTCGGGGGGGGGGTGTAAAGCCTCCTCAGGAATGCTCTATGCCCAGCGGCACGGTGGCAGATCTTTCTCAGGGACCACGTCGCAAAATGACATCGTGACGCCAGTTCTAATGTAGCAGGTGAACATCTCCAGCGAGTCTGCAGTCACCGTGGTGGTGACTCAAACAGCGCGGCGGCTGGTGAGTGGGAGCACCCTCGGCTCCTTTGAAGTGAGGTACACCGCCGTGGCGACCGATCTGCAGCATGCCGACGGTGTTTGTGTGTTCACTCCCGACCGCCTTCGCCAACGCATGCATCACGTTCGACGCCTCGTCAGTGGTGGTGTCCACCCCTTCGACGAGCAACGCCATGACGAAGGCAACACGCGACCCTCACATGGGGAGCATGCATGGGCAACGTGTTGACATCTTCCAGGAAGGTGAGCACGTGCTGTTCCTCATTTACATGCTTACGCACGCCTCTCCTCTATTGTTTGGCGCTCTCCCTTCTGCTGCCTCCCCCCCCTGCTCCTCGCACCCCCGAGTGCGCCGGCCAAGGCACGGAGAGATTCGGTGACCAGGCTGGCGCTGTTCGCAGCGCGCCGCAAAGGAGTCGACCTGTGGGAGCAGACGACTGTGCGCGCCGACTTCCTCCGGCCCTCCTGTCGCACCTCTTCCCTCCCGGCTGTCTTTTCTCTTCTCGTACCCCCTTGAATTCCGGGCCGCACTGGCGGCCCCAAAAAGGGCCACGTCTTGTTGGGGAGCGGTCGGGCGTTGCCTCTCAGGAGTTGCATCGGAACGTTGATGATCCTCAGGACGTGTATTATCCCGAGCGAGATCTTGCGTTGTTCGGTTCTGCCGATAGCGCACAGCCTGTGTACGCCCTCGTTGCGCCGCTTGGGTCGTTTCACGTGCCTCGGTGGACAAGCACACGCTGGCGATAACACACTTTCTGAGGACCATCGCAGACCATCTGAGGCAGAACACCTTCAGTAGGAGGACGAACAATGACATAAACATACAAAACTCGGAGGTCTGCTCGGATTGCTCGGATCGGCGCTGGTTCCCCCTCTGGCGCGCGGAGCGCGCCAGGGGCGGCGCCAGAGGC